AATATTAAATGTAAGATTAGTTATGTTATATGTAAATCTGAAAAAAACGTGAAATAATTGAATTGTAATACAGCGACATCTATTGAAAACTTGCAGTACCTAGATAAATTAGCAAGAAAAATAAAAAATAATAGCAATAAAAACTATCCTATGCACTTAGTTGAAGAAAATAACACGAAATAACAAAATTTTTATTAAAATACGTTCAGTAATTTCGAAGTTTATTAGAAACCAACAATGTAATACTTGATTTTCATATATAAAGATATATGTAGATGTTAAAGATGTATATGTTAGCGTTTATGTATTTCTCGTATGTGTAGGGAAATTTTTGATAAAAATTATTCATGATTTTTTTTAAATTTATTTTCTTTTTTGATCACGTATTCATTTTATAACTCGAATTCATTTTCTCACGAATGACGATGATTAAAATTTCTTTTTTTTTTCTAGCGAGGGTTTGGTCGTTTGTAACAAAAAGTTGTAAAACAATGTGTGATCAAGTATTTTGAAATAAAATATTATATAATATATGTATTTATAATAAGATATAAATTGTTAACTTTTCTAACAATGTTAGTAAAATTAGATTATTTATCGAAATGAAAAGATTATTATGAAAATATTATATCTAGCGAAGTTAATATGTTTAAATGTGCACTCCATTTGTTGCAAACATCAAACTAATATTAAATTCCTACTTCACGTGCCTTAGTAATTTCACAATTAGGAGTTTCTCGTAACATTATTGGTTATATGATTTAAGCGAAGTATTCAATATTAAATTTGCTTCATAATACTTCATACACTTTTTATATAATCCTATACAAAAAAGAAAAAAAAATATTCCAATGATGATAAACCAAATGTTAACAACGAGATAAATGATCGCGAGTGAATTAAAATTAAACAGAAACTATGATCAAATTTTATTTCGATTATGTAATATTAAATTTTCCAGCTACTAACGAATTCAATAGGATAATTCAAGAATAAATTCGTAGAAATTCTTTAGACAAATAAAAAGAAAAAAAAAGAAAAGAAAAGAAAAAAAAAAGAAAAGAAAAGAAGAAAAAAATCTTTGGAAAAGTTGTAAAAGTCGTAAAAATAGTTCGCATTTTACAAAACAAAGTAAATTACAAAACGAGTGTGATACGTATGTGAAACATGGCAGTGAATTCAAAAGTTGAAAATAAAATAAAATAAAATAAAAAAAGAATGAAAATTCAAATAGAGAAAAGAAGATAAAGTAGAAATAAAAAAAGAAAGAAAGAAAGAAAGAAAGAAAGTAGGAAAGAAAAAGTAGAAGAAGAAGAAGAAGAAGAAGGGGTAGTAAGTAAGTAGAAGAAAAAGGAAGATTTAAAATAAATCGGCCCAGGTCGATGGGAATCTAAATGCAAATATCTACGCGAGAATAAATTCGTGTAAACGGGGGAAAGAGTAGTGGTGGTGGTGGCAGTGGCAGTGCACCCTTAAAAGAAGTAAAAGTAGAAGCGAAAGAAGAAGGAAAAAAAAAGGAAAAACAAGAAGAAGAAGATTTGCGTGTTGTAATACTAGGCTGTAAAAGTAAAATGCTAAGAATTTTTATATATTACATATATATATATATATATTTATAATATAATTTAATATTATATTATAATTTAGTAAACAATTTATATTACATATTATAATTTTATAATTAAATAATCTTTTTAAATTTTATTATTTTAATAATTTATTATAATTAATAAATAATTTATATATAATATTATATTATATATATATATTTTTATTATTATATATATATATTATTTTTATATATATATATATATATATATATATTTATAATGTTCATCTAACTAAAGTAATTTGTTTTTATCGTTGAAATTTTTATACAAAAATTGTAGATGAATATTAAAAATATAAATAAATAAATAATACATACATCGGGTTTGTATTTATCATAAAGTGTAGTAATATTATACGGTAACTGGTAGTTTTATTCTTTTCTCCGGTAAACAATATTTTTTTCAAAACCTTTTTCTCTCTTCGTTTATTATTAATTTATTCGGCAAAGAGACCCTAACAAGGTTCGGTATAAATAAAATATAAAAACCGAATAAATTTGTTGGAAAATGTTGTAGTAAATTTTAAGGATGTAAATAAGAATAAAAAAAAATAAAAAAACTATTGAAAAAATCATATTCCTGGAAAAATCCATTAACTATAAAGTATATTGTATTCTACGTAAACCGAAATATCATTTTTAAAATCCAAAATGAAACGCTATTTCTGTATTTTATTTAAATACGTTTCTTTTCAATTGAAACGTTGATATTTTTAATACATCGAACAAACAAACAAACAAACAAATAAATAAATAAATAAATAAATAATAATAATAATAATAATATTCAGAAATTTGTTGGAAAATGAGGTAGTAAATTTTAAGGATGCGAAAAAAAAGAAAAAAACTATTGAAAAAATCATATTCTTGGAAAAATACATTAAATATAAAGTGTATTGCATTCTAAACTAAATTAAACCGAAATATGATTTTGAAAACCAAAAAATAAAACGCGATTCCTGTATTTTATTCATATAAGTTTCTTTTCAATTGAAACGTTTATATCTTTAATAAAATGAACAAATAAACAAACAAATAAATAAATAATAATAATAAACTGATTTCTGCTTTCCGAAGCAAGATTTAATTTCTTTTTTCTTTTTTTCTTTTCTTTTCTTAAACGATTCCGGAGGGTTTCCTTTAAAAATTAAAATGAAGCATTGAAAATATAAAAGGAATGCATGAACGGCTTAAGGGGGTGGAGGTGGGGAAAGGGAGGGGGTGCATGGGTGGGTCGTTTCCTTGGTTTGAAGTAGGTTGAAAAAAGGAAATGCAAACACGAGTTGGATGATCGCGCATAGCCTTTCCATAAACTGGACGAAAAAAAAATCATCAAAAGGCAGCAGGGTTGAGAAGTACGAATAAAGTTCAAGCCGTTTTGCCCGAAGGCTACAGATACTACTACTACTACTTGTTGTTCTACAAAGAAAGAAAAGAAAAGAAGAGTAGAAAACGAGGAAACAACGACGAACGACGAACGAGCAAGTGAATGAATGAGTAAGTGAAGAGAAGAACGTGTATATATATATATATATATATATATATATATATATATATATATGTGTGTGTGTGTGTGTGTGTATGAATGAGTACATACACGAGAAAAGAAAAAAAGGCGAAGAACTTTTACTCCTTCTTACGTTAGAGTAAAAGGAAAAAAATTGGACAAGTAAAATAGAAAAAAATAAAAAATGCATTTCACGAAAATGAAGCATGATCTTTATCCTTTTAATCTCTTCTAATAATTTTCTTTTCTTTTCTTTTTTTTTTATAAAAAATAATTTAACGTGTCGTTAATTAAAGTACCGAAAAAGATTAAATCTTTGAATTTAGAAAAAATTTGTATTAAGATTATTATATATTTCATGGTTAAAGTATAATTCTAATAATGTTCGAATTTATTTTTATTTTGTAAGAAATTATTGTTAAAATTAATTAATTAAATAGAATTTTAGAAATTTTATTTGGTCATTGTTCGTTCAGTGACAATTAATTCATTCTCTTTGTTTTCTATAAAAAATATTTTAACGTGTCGTTAATTAAAGTACCAAAAAAGATTAAATCTTTGAATTTAGAAAACATTTGTATTAAAATTATTATATATTTCATGGTTGAAGTATAATTTTAATAATGCTCGATTTTATTTTTATTTTGTAAGAAATTATTGTTAAAATGATATAATTAAATAAAATTTTAGAAATCTTATTGAATTGTATTTCGTTCAATAAAAATGAATTCATTTGTTATACGTTTGTCATTTAAAAAATTAAGACGATTAGGATTGTGCGATTTTGGGTTTAATAATCTTTGAAAAAGAAGAAGAAAAAAGAGAGACTTAGAGAGAGAGGATTAGTCTTTTAACGAAATTGCTTCTCCAGCATGATCTCTCAAAGATTAATCCTTTTCTTCTTGAGACAGACTCAATTAAAATGATTTTATCCTTTTTTATTTTTTTTTATTTGTGGTCTTTTAACGATCACAATTCATCCTCTCTTACTCATTCTCTCTCTCTCACTTTCTATTTTTAAAAAGTCGAATATTACGATTTAATTGTTAGAGAATGTTTAACAGGAAAGGATTGGAAAAGATTCGTCCGACGATCAAAATTCAACGTAATCGACTTGATAATTGCTATGAGTAGGAAACTCAGAAAGTTAATTGCACCAAAACAGGAGATTAAAACACTTGACGAACTATTAAAGGTACATACGTAATTATCTACCATTTCCGGTCGACGGAATGTTGCAGTCTCATTTTAAAAACACACACACACACACACACATACATTGAAGAATGCGAACAATTTTTCCCCTTTTTCTTTTTTTTTTTTTACCTTTTTTTGGGTCTTTTTTTACTAATTAATTTTCTCGAAAATATAGCGAGACAAAAAGCGAAAAAGTACTAATTTAAAATTCCAACATTTTTTCAGTATTTTTTTGCCAATTAATTTTCGATTTTCATTCGAATTAATAAGGACTAACTATAAAATAAAAATATAAAGAAATATAAAGGGGGCGAGGATAACGATGACGAGAAATTAAAAAAGAAAATTTAATTTAATCCCTTTTTGAAACTCGATTCTTTTATCTTTTCGGTAGGGATTTAAAATAAAAAAATTAAAATAACAAAAAGAAAACACAAATTACGTAACGTGAAAATTATAGTGATAAAATTCAAAAAGAATACAAATTATTAATTAAAATTTTAATTCTATCGAATATGAAGAAAATAATGAAACTTTTGTGTTAAATATATAAAAAAATAAAAATAAAAAAAAATATTTTTATTTAACACATAAGTATTTCAAAATTTCATTATAAAATCCTGAAGATGATTTAATCGAATTAATTAATTATATAATTAATTACGAATGATTAACGATCATGCTTACCGACAACTTCGAGATATAAAAATATACTCGTAGGTGGATGAGTTGAGACCTGACATTGGTAAAGTCCAGCATCCCTTCCCTGTACGTATTTTATTTGCAATGTCCAATCTTCGCTGTGATGAAAATGTATCGCTTGAAATCGTTCATCGTTGGCGTACGTTATCATGCCAACCGTCAGTAATTCCTGTACAGTCTTACGTTTGATCCATGACACCTGAAACAGTTAAAAATAAAAGATAGGAAAATAAAAAAATAAAAAAGAAAAAAAAAGGAAATCTCATTAGTATGGTAAACCACAGATCCGATCAACTATCAGAAATCGATTCTTTCTAACAGCATTATATATTTGTGTATGTACTATACGTGTGAGTAGACACACTTATTTTGCATGTGATACGTGTTAGAGAGTGCGATGTTTTTAAAAGTAACGTGTGTATAAAAGGTATTTCGGTGACGTGTAAAAAAAGATAGTGATTCGTTTCCAATGACAGTATTTTCCTACAATACATTCTCCTCTCTTTCTATTTTTCCTTTTTCTTCTTATTCAAACAAATAATAAACTTTTACGATTTCCGTAACGTAAATAAATACCTAAACGTAATATCGTATATCAATTCACTCGTTGAAATCCTGTTTGTCTCACATTTAACAACATCCCGACGTGGTAATCTTGTATATATATATAATGTTTTAGATACCAGACAAGATCGCATATTATACTTTAACTGCAAAAACCGATTTTGGCATTTGATCCTTCCTATTTTATTTCAACCTCTCTCTCTCTTTTTCTCTCTTTTACTCATCCGTTTTTCTCTCCCACTATAGTATACTGTTAGCAGACATCGATTACGTAGGAACAGTATGTATGTGCGCTTGCGTAAGTACATTGCATGTTGGCCAGTATTCACTGACACGTTCTTGATATACTGGAATTTAATAAAGACAAAGTAGATTACTGAAAGAGAGAGAGAGAGAGAGAAAGGCAAAAAAACACCGAGTACATTTCATTTAACGTTTGACCCAAACTAGAAATTGATCGAAGATTCTCTTTGGTTCGTTATGTCCTTTCAACATACACGCATTAATGCTATTTTAAATGATCTTTCGAGTAACGATCCTCCCACTAATCCCTCCTCCTACCCATTAACCCTTTCCCACCCTCTTTACCACTCTACTACCATCACTGATATATTATAGGTTAGTATAATACTGAAAGTTTATTAGTCATCCTTTCAAAATGTACATATTAGACATTGATCTACTTCGTATTATGTATTCTAAGCAGCTTTGATATTACCGAGCAGTTAGGTTACGTACATATGCTTCTGATCGTTACCGAAGAGAATTGATTATGGTTACAAGCACGGGGGATACCTACTTGCTTTCTGGATGTTAACCAGGGTAAACAACTAACTAAACACCTGTCGATAACATATAATTATTATCGAAATTGAACGTTTAACTAACAAGCCTTTAAATCGAGATTCAAAGGGTACCCCCTTTCTCCTCACTCTTCAATTTAGTTCTCGCTTTAATTAACCTTATTTTTATGTTTTTTTTAGTTACAAATTACTAATTATTTTCGTTTAATTGACTATCTATCTCTCTCTCTCTCTCTCACTCTTGTACTCTTGTGGCGTTTGGTTTAATTTCTTATAGGATTTGACTAATTTTAGAATCGTTCAACTTTCATTTGCATTACTGTGATTCAATTTTTATTTATTTATTACAACTTATTATTTTTGTTTTTTGTTTTGTTTTATTTGTTCGTTTTTTTTTCTATTTACTCGTCGAGGGATTGTAATAAACCTTTGCATAGTGACCCAGCCTCCCCCTCCTACTCTTCCTACCCATAAGGGTAGTTGAAAAAAGTTATTATCCTCGAACAAAAGGAAATGTTTTATTTCCTTTAAAATAAAAGTTATTTAAATCGAAAATAAAAAAAAAGAAGAAAAGTAAAGAATTGTTTCAATCCGATTTAATTTACAATTCGTAGACAATTTTTGGTAAAAATAAATTATAATAATAATAATAAAATTTTGGTAAAAAAACATTTTAATAATAATATATTATAATAATAATTATAAAACAAATTACAATAATATAGTACAAATAATATAAATAATAATAATATAATTATAATAATAAAAAAATTATAATAATAATAAATAAATTATAATATATAATAATATAATATAATAATAATAAATTTAAAATAATAATAATAATAATAATAATAATAATAATAATAATAATAATAATATGATATAAAATTGTAATAATAACAAGATTTGTTTGAATTAATATTTAAATTTTTTCAAATCCATATTCCTGTACATACGAATAATTGTCAAGGTCAAATGATTGATGTGACACCTACCACGTACGTTTGTATGCGAATTACAACAAACCGACTTGCTTAAAATTATTTTGACATTTTTTTGTTTGTTATAAGTAACGTTTCACTAAACTGCATTATTATATCTAAAAATAGATGTAACTTTTTAGTCATCAAAATTGTACGCGCACGGTTAGCGCATAATTACTTTGGTATTTAAAAATAGCCTGAATTTCACATCGGACTTTAATCTTGTAGCAGTTTTTTTTTGTCTTTTTTTTTTCGTCTCGTTTCACCGTCCTTGTTCTCTTTTTCCAGTCCCTTTTTTTGCTTTCTTTTTTTAATTCCCTTTCCTTTCTTCTTTCTTTTGTTTCACACCCTATGCCCTTTTTTTTATTTTCAACGCGTATTTCTAAAAGAAGAATACGTTTTTATCGTATTTTCTTTTTTTTTTTTATTTAAAATAAAATCCTTTGAAAGATTTTCCTTTCTATTATCTGCAAGGATTAAAACAAGAATTAGGGTGGAATGTAGGTGAGAGGGAGGAGAAGGAGGAGGAGGAGGTAGAGGAGGAGGTTAGTTTATTTCGCGTAGATTGCATATAAATTATCAAAATTATGATCTATTTACCCATAGTTTAATGTAACCATGAGTAAGCGAATTATAATTTTAAGATAAAGAAGAAGCAATAGGTATGTTTGAGAAGTTAAGGGGGGACCGGCTAGACCCTTTGGAAAGCCCTTATACTTGGTGGTCGTCTGGTCGAAGCTTGATAACGGTAAATGACTATTATTCCTCGATAATGGTAACATTGTCGCGAACATTGCCATAACCGGAAGCGTAGCAATGCTTTATGATACCATTGATACTATTATCTTTGACTGTACGATAAGGATTATTTACTAGTCGTTTGATCAGGCACAGATTACACACGAGAGTAAATATTTTATTACGTTATACCAGTGCTGAGTAAGTTTATTGTAAAATCGAATTTATCTTTCTACCTCTCTTCCTGTCTTTCTCTTTCTGTGGGGGTTAAATTGTTCGTGTTACTTTTAATGGTATATATCAATAAATTAATATTATATTTTTATTTTATTTTCTTCTTCATTAATATGGAGTACATTAAAATATTATTTTCATTTATTGTTTTATTTCTTTTTTTAATTTTAAAATTTTTCTTTTTGTTTTTTTTTTCGACATTTAATTTTGTTTTTCTACTAAAAGAAATCTAATTAAATAAATATAAATATTTTTAAACGTATTTAATGACCTTAGTTTAATTATATATTATATATAATTATTTTAATATTATTAAATTAATATATTTAATTTAATATTATATAATATATGTATATAATTAATTTAATATTATAAATTATACATTGGACAATTTTTCAAATAAATATAATTAACAATTTATTTAGATTTTCTTGGTCTTTTAAATAATTTACAAATAGTATATTTTTCAGAATTAGAATAATATCTTACATATAAACATCCTCTGTAACCATAACGGTGAAGTTTACGGCAATCGAAAACTATATTTTTTAAAATAAACAGCGTTGTTGCAACTCAGCAGTTGCGTAGTGTTAAACAAAGCAATAATGGGTCCTTGTATGGTAATATAGTGTGAAATAATTGATAAACTCATTTTTTTTTAAATTTTAACTTATGTTAGACCACTTTTGTAATAATGGTCAATTTTTTCATAATTATGTGTTCATTTTTATATAAAAGTTGATACTTTCATTTCATTTTTTGATTTCAATTTACATAAATATTTTTGTAACCACATACAAAATATATGGACGCGTCAATGTTTGTTCATATAAATCATAAGAAAAAGATTTACGAGATTGATGTAAAAATTTTACTCGAATGAAAAAAAAAACCAGAGTCGTATAAATAAATAAATTCCAAAAAATTCAATTTCTACTCAAACTTATTGAATTAAATCGATATTACAAACTTGAAATGAATTTCAAGTTAAGGGTAAAAATGGAAAAGAAAAAGAAAATAAAAATCGGTCCAAATTTTACATTCGATTTGAGTAAAATCAAGTTCTGCATAAATAACACGAAAATTCAATTTGACGAAACTTGTCGAATTAATTCTATTACGAACTTCCAATAAAAAATTTAGTGTAAAAGAAAAATAAAAAAGAAAGAAGCGTGATTTTCATTCGATTTGAGTAAAACCAAGTCTCATAAATAACATGGGGGGGGGCGGGGGAATTTTAATTTGAAGGTAATATTTCACGTAAGATTTAGAATAAATTTTTTTTTATTTTTTTTTTTATTTCTCATGGTTGATATCGTGAATACGTCAGAAACGAATGAACAAATGAATGAATGAATGAACGAAGGAACGAATAGATTTCTTCTAGGTTTTACTACATCGTAAAAGAAAAAAAGGACGAAACGTTTATCCCACGATCACGGAAGGTTTGTGATAGGTATACTACAAGAACGAGTGTGGGAGAAATTTCGTTATCAGTTTGTAATACTCTGTCCTTTTCTAAAGCATCACGCTCAATTTCGAGAGGGACGAAATTCTGTTGCAATCAAACCGTGTGCCAGGATCAATCGATAGCTGCCTCAGCTGATGGTGTTTCTTGTCAGCTTTCCCATTCGTGAAGGGATCAAACCAGCGAATCTTCGATAGTGTTACGAAAGCGTTATTGACGTTTACCGATTACGAACATTTTACTGAAGTCCTGTGTTAGTCATCGATCGTTTTAGACAGTTTCCTAGATATTTATCATTGTTAAATGTTCAAATTGAAACTAGATATATATCTATATATAGAATTCTAACACCACTCTAGATTAAATATATTCAATAATTTTCTGTATTATTAGATATTATTAAATA